ATAAGATGAGTTTCCTTGTACATTCACTAATTAATATTTGCTATTATCAATAACGAATTCAAAATCCCTACAAATTTTTCATGTTGAAATCCACTCATTTCCCTGAATAAAATTCTGCACAGAATATGTATTAACATGTTCAGATGGTATCTTGCTACTAAAGGGCACTCTCTTGGAAAAATCAGAACCAGCTCCAGAATTACCAAACTCCCCATAGAAAAGGGTGCTCAAAGCAAAATCCTCACTCCAAGTCATCCACCCATCTGGGGAAAGAAGAGCTTCCATGGTACAGTTTATAAAAACTGTCCTTGAATACTCCTTCCATGGCCTCCCCAAGTAGCTCTTGTGCACTTCGGGGTTGTTTTGATTCAGCTTCATGAACTCTTCTGTGCCGTTGATCAAGCAGTTCTGAAATACGAAACCAGTTGATTGTGCAGGGTCTGTTCTGCCGTGAGCTGTGACGGTGCTACTTCCGCCGATCTCGGGGTTTAGTTGTCGAGGGCGGATGAGGATGTTGCAGTCTTGGAAGACAGCAGCTGAGTTTCCGAAGATGAAATCTACGTTGCCTTGGATGTTGCATGACTTGTAGAACTGGCGGTTTCCGTGTGCGTAGAGAGTGTCCTGGTTGCCTAAGAATTCACAGTTCTCAATCACAGAGAGATCACTGTCTGATCTGAAAGCTACCGCTTGGTGGACATCAGGACCTGCTGTGTTCTGGATTGTGAGACCACTGGCCATGAACCCATCTCCAAGAACACCTGAAAAATAATAAGAAACAATCAGAACCTTACTTTCAAAGCATAATAAAAACATGTAATAAATAAAAATAAAAAGTTATGCAAATAACCTACCGACTGTGGCAGAATTGTACGTGGAGATTCCGGGCAAGCCCACATTCAACGACCCGGTAATTACCGTTTTGCCAATCCCGTCACCCAAAAACACCACGTTCCGCTTCTCTAAGGGCACCCTCACGATCTCGTCGTACACCCCAGCCTTTATGCGGATCACGAACTTCTTCTCACCCGGGTTATCCGGTGCGGCGTTCACCGCCCTCTGCACCGTCCTGTAGCATTTCTCCGTCTTCTCCTTGCACACCGTCACGTCCGCTGTTAAATTCGACGGCACTCCTCCCCGAACCCCCTGGCCGGACCCTCTGCCCTCGACCCGCTCCCAGAACCCGTCGCGCTCGGTCTTGGGCTGGGCCCAGAACTTGGTGTCGTTTCCGAAGTTGTCGTACGAGTACATCATGCTGAGGGCGTTGCTGGACTTCCCCACCAGCGAGTCGAGAAACGACATCGTCTCGTTGACCATCTGGGTGTCGTTGCCGTACTTGAGGCCCGACCAGCACTCGTATTGGTAGAGCAGCGCGGCGCTCATCGAGGCACGTGAGTTTTTAATGCTTCCACGTGACAGGTTGTCGGTGGCGAGCGAAATGCGGTACCGGGAGTTCCCGAGGTCGTCGAGGCAATTGTTGGCGGCGGTGGTGCGGTGTTGGTTGCCTGCGGACGAGTCTAGGATAGCCTTCACCATCTTCTGCGCCGTGTGGACGCCATCGGTGGAGACCTGGATAGCGGATTGGATGGCTTGGATTGGGGTGGTGTTTGGGTCAGTGACGAGCCCGGCTAAGGTGGCCTGACAAGTGTCGGGAAATCGCGTGGCTTTGCAGACTTGCTGGATCAGAGGGATAGGGGCGGTGACGTGCATGCGGGGTTGAAGATTGCGGGCGGCGGAGGTGAGAGAGAGGAAGAGAGCGAGGGAGAGGAGAGGGAGGAAGAGGAAGGAGGCCATGGATATGAGCAAGAGGAACTTGGGTTTGGGAGAGTTTTTGTTTTCGCTTTGGAAGTTGCAGGGTTTGAGTGATTTGAGTGCAAAGGTTGAGAGACTTCGAGTGATTTTATAGCCTATTAATGCTACCACCTTGTCGAGGCAGGAAAAGGAGGAGAGAAATATTTTCTATATTTTTTTCTCGTTTTAGGAAATCTCTTGTTATACTAGGAAAAGAAAGTTGGCTGATGGCCTCTCTAAAGTTTTTTGACCTTTTTCATGCAGGTAGCTTGGTTGGGATGGGAAAAGCCTCATGACATTGACAAACAACCATTGGTCAAACATAAAGAATATAGAAGGCTGTGTGAATAATTACATTAATAAGGGAACGTAAACTAGTGCTAAATTACATCAGTATATATTACAAGGAAACAAAACCCATTAGGTAAGAATAAAATCAGACCAGAAACACAATCAATTATGGATTCAATGCGTTAGAGAAGGGGGATATATGATGTAAGAAGAGTTGACTTTCCTTAGGCCATCCCCAATGGTTGGGGCTCTAAAAAGGGTTTATAGAGCCTTATTTAGAGCTCCGATGGAATCTTTGGGGCTCTAAAGGAATCACTCCCAAAATGGGAGGCCCTATATTCATGGCGGGCTCTATATTTTTTTTATGATGTAATTTGATTTACGTGGTTTTTTTTTTTTGGTTAACTATTTTACTTTAATGTTTGTTCATGTTATGTTAGTTTTTTTTTTGTGTGTGAACATTTCAACAAAAAAAATCAAAATTTGGACAAGATTTGGAAGTCAACATTTATTTCATAAATACAATACAACATGATTAAATTAAAACAAGAGATTAACAAAAAAAATTACAAAAAATTAAATAATCTAGTGAGTGAAAAAATTTGACAAATAGAGTGATAAAGATGTTGTGGTGTCTAAAAATTATTAGAGATATAGTGGATATTTATAGGAAGAATTGAGTTGCAAATCTTTTTTTTTATTTAAAGAAAAAAAAAAGAAAGAACCAATATGGCCCTGTATAGCCGTTGGACATAAATGTAGCAGTTTATATTTGTTGGCTTTGAAAAAGTGGTTTAACAATATTTGTTAAAAAGTGGTTTAACAATATTTGTTGGCTTTGAAAAAGTGGCTTTTGAAAAATTGGTTTAGCATGCTGGGCCAACATGTTGTTGACAAAACCAAAAAATGGCAAGTATGGCCTTGTACAATCGCAAGGCAAGTGAGGAAGCACAAAAGGTGGGATGCAGCCTTTTTTCTTGCGGGACCCACTCGATTTCCAGGGCTTCAACCAAGCACATACATTTAGCAACTACTCCGGTTGGGCTTCAAGTTTTAGAGCCCTAAATTTGCACCATTGGGGATGCCTTTTTGAGGAAAGTTTGTATATATGGGAGCCTTGTGGTGGTTGAGCCCCAAATAAAGCCCCCATTGAGGATGGCCTTATAAGGTTGAGGTTTCCAGCTTTTTTTTTTAGGACTTTTTCTATTGCGATGGGCGATAGTATACGTATACTACACGGATGCTAGGACTCGAACCACTACACTAGTGGGTCATTTGCAAAAGCTTGTGTCTTGAGGGTATTTGTTTAGGACTCATTTAGGGGGGTGTATTCAATTGAGATTTTAAAAGATTATTTTGGGATACCCATATGAATTGCTTGTAAAGAAAGTTCATATGAATTGCTTGCCATACCCATTTTAGTAAATTTCAATTGTGCAGTTTATCATTTCATCCAAATATAGAGTGCCGCTTCGTTTCATGAATTTGGCTGAATTCCAAATAACAATCAATTGGGTATTGCAAAAGATGGGTAGTGGCTGTAATCGATGGGTATTGCAATGAACTGAGTATTTTCATGAAAGTTAAAAAGTTATGAATTGGAGGAATATTGATAAGTTGCAAAGCAAACAACGGGTTTTGGCTGAATAGCGATGAGATAGGAGCTAATAGAAGATAGAGATACAAAGGCGTAACGGAAAGACGGTACCGTCAATTTTGTTGAAAAAAAAAACACAAAAATAACAATAGATGATGTAGCCTATCTACAACCATTATTGGATTATTTTAACGCTCAACAGTTTGTGAAATGCGGGAAAATGCAGAGGGACTAAATGTAGAGGCTCGGAATCCATAAATTTCTCCTCCTCTAGAAAAGGAAAACAAAAAAACAAAAAATTTAGGTTCGATAAAACTTAGGGCTCATGTTGTAATGATTGGGAGTTTACCAAATGAGATAACAAGAGCCTATTTTTCTTTCATGTATTTAAGAATTACATTACCAAGCTTGGAGTTTAGACGATATCCGAACGAAACCGAGGTTCACCATGCATAAGAAGTTCAGTCATGTACTAGAATAATCAGGAGGCTAAAATTATGAATTTTGAGTAAGAGCTCTTATACAGATGAATATGGATATGGAGGGTTTGAGTTTTACTTTTAAAGTTGTGGCGTGCTGTGTTTCTTCCAATATTATGCTGGTGGGTAAAAGAATTAGTAAAACATGTCGCATAATTAATCAAAATCTGGATTGTAAAAAGTCGGCATTGTAAAACAGTAATTGGATGTAATTCAGTCGAGTTTCTTGTTTATTCTCCAGCTATTGCTTGAATTCCAGGAATCGAAACGGTATCAATCTTACATTTGAGTAGCTTGAAGTTTGTCAGACAACAATTGTTTTTACTTTCTTGTTTATGAATGGAAAGTGCGCCAGCAGCTAAGCCATTAGGGTTAGTAAAATGGTGAGAAAATGTAGGATCCATCATCTTCTACCAAAATGCAAAATCTGCCCCAAAGAGTTAGGTGTTGTAGGCTTTATGTTTCTGCATGATGCATGTGTGAAACTAGCCAGCATCCTAACAACGTCTTCCAATGTTTCCGTAACACTTCTTCGAATTGGGGACATTAATTTTGTCATGGGGTTTTGCCTATCGGGGGAAAATGGAATTACCACAATATATGATTGAACAAAATCAAAAGTTTAGTTAAGCTGTATGAAAAAAGATCTACGACAAAAACTTTCCCTTTCCTTTTTGAAGAAGGAGACATCATCAGCCCATTCCTTTTCCTAATATAAGAATGTTTCCTAATACGAGAAAAAAAAAAATTGTCTCCTTTTCCTACTTGGACAAGGTGTTATGAGTAGGCTATAAAATCATGTCAAGTCTCTCAACCTTTGAAACTCAAATCACTCAACTCTTCAACTTAAAGACTTTAGTTAATATTACAAAGACCAAAACAATGGCCTCTGACGAAATGAAGAAGATAACCCTAAAGAGCGACGACAACCAGACCTTCGAGGTGGAGGTGGCTGTGGCCATGCAATCGCAGACCATGAAGCACATGGTGGAGGACGACTGTGTCGATGACGTGATACCTCTGCCAAATGTGACCAGCAGCACCCTAGCGAAGGTGATCGAGTACTGCAAGAAGCACCATGAAGAGGATGCTGATGTCAAGAACGAAGAGACTCTCAAGAGCTGGGACACTGAGTTCGTGAAGGTGGACCTGCACGAGCTGTTTGACCTAATCTTGGCTGCAAACTATCTGGACATCAAGAGCCTATTGTATTTGACTTGCCAGACTGTGGCGGACATGATCAAGGACAAGACACCTGAAGAGATCCGTGTGATCTTCAACATCGAGAATGATTTTACGCCCGAAGAAGAAAAGAAGATTCGTAAGGAGAATGAGTGGGCATTCGAGTGAGAGAGTTAGACAACCCTTATATACCTATTATTATTAGATAATTGTACTTTTTGTCTAGTCTGGACTATTATTTTGCTTCTAGTTATAATTCAACAGGGTTTTTTTTTTTTTTTTTTTTTAAATTTAAGTTTTTTGTTAGGTGATTGCTAAGATGTAACTTTTTTTTTTGGGTGCCAAAATTCGGGAAATTTTATTCATAGACGTAAATCAAGGTTTGTATCCTCAGCTAGTACATTAAACCGCCAAGGCCAAATCACATCCCAAACATGGGAACCTCCAGAACGAGTGACAAAGCGAGTAACCTCATGTCCTGCTTTGTTCCCTCTACGAGATGTAAACGAAAACTTCACCTGCTCTAGCTGTTGAGAAAGCTCCCAAATGTCAAAAATAAAATTGAGTTACTTTACGCTCAACATGGTAACCTTCAAAAGGCCATAAAAACCTTCACGGAAAATCCCAAAACGTGGCAATCACACACCCAAAATGTCTTTTTGCAATTATGTAATTGTTAGGCTAAAGGATTTTATGGTAGTCCCGTTCTTTGGGGGCCTAGTAAGGTCACACAGTCCGCACACCCTATGGGTTGACCTTTCATATAAATTTAATTTCACAAAACTTAACTATGATTTCTGAACCCTAAACCCTCAAATACCATTTTAAGGCACTATTTACTTGTTTTGATATTTATTCCTAAAGAGTTCATAATTTGAGAAACTGAGAAGGTCATTTCTGTTGGTGTGACTTGTGGACTATTGACTTACTTTCTTTACACACCAAGAATTCCTATTATAATTGTAATTGATTTACTTTAACTCCTGATTTCCTACTGTAAATAAATTTAGGAATTTATTATTTACTTGCCCATTCAGGTTTCATTGTATTATAAACATGACCTCCTACAAGGAGAAGAATACACAGAAAACTTCCACAAACAAATATTCTCAAATTAGATTTCATATTTTAGCATGGTATCAGTGCGGTGATCTTGGAATTGCTAACTCTAGTTTCAAACCCCCGCCACTGCTATGGGGGTTGATGATTTTTTCAACCCTCATGGAGGTAGCACCACCGACTCATTCTCTCATTCTCAACCAACCATAGCCGAGTTGAGTGCCCAAGTGGCTCAGCTCCTACAGATGCAGCCTTTGACCCCGAACCTGATCTTGAATCAAGATCCAATTTTGACGACCCCGACCCCGACCCCGACCCTCACTACGACTCTGACTCAGAACATGACTCCGATGATGACCCCGACCCCGACTTTGATTATGACCCCGACCCCGAATTTGTCTTTGATTCAGACCCAGATCCCGACTTCAACTTCGACTCTGGCCCCGACTCAGGCTCAGATCACGATTCGAATTCCTACTGTATCCTATGCATCTTCCGCTGCACAAATTATGACTTCCCGACTAACGACCCCGATACATGGACGAGATTGCTCAGATTGTGGTGATCCAAGACACACTTGTGAGACTTGTTTTAAATTGCATGGCTACCCCAAATGGTGGGCTGCTCTCAAAGATCGAACACAACTCGATACGACCAGTAATGGTATTGATTATGGATTCCATACTTCGAATAAGATTGATTCCGGTGCAACTGATCATATGACGTTTGATCCTGATGATTTACTGAATACTACACAACCCCGACGAACTTGTATTGCTAACGCCAATGGAGTTACTTGTCCTGTGACAGGGGCTGGCACTGTTGCACTCTCATCCGCTCTCTCGTTGTCTAGTACTTTACTTTTTCCATCTTTATCTAATAAATTGATGTATTTTAGTCAGCTTACTAAACAATTGAATTGTTGTGTACTCATTTACCCGAGTTTTTTTTTGCTTCAGGATATTCACACTAAGGAGATTCTTGGTCGTGGTACTAAGAGAGGGGGGCTATATTATGTGATGACTTCAGTCCTGGCATGGCTAATAGTGTGACGCATCCTTCTGATAGCAAACAAAAGCAAATCTGGTTGTGGCACCGTCGATTGGGACATCCGTATTTTAGTTATATAAAGCATCTTATACCAGATTTATTTTCAAGTTTCAAGGACTCTGACTTCACATGTGACACTTGTATTTTGGCCAAGAGTCAACGTGTGCCTTATCCGTTGAGTACAACCAAGTGTACTACTCCGTTTACGTTAATTCACTCTGATGTCTGGGGACCTTCACCTATCATTGCTCCTTCTAGCGTTCGGTGGTTTGTCACATTCGCAGATTATTGTACGCAGATGACATGGCTTTATTTGCTGAAGAATAAAAATGAAGTCTTTTCCCGTTTTCAGTTCTTCCTCAAATAGATGACAACTCAATTTAATGCTCAAATACAGATTCTTCGCTCAGACAATGGTGGAGAATTTGTCAATCATGACTTTCAAACTTACTTCCAACAAAATGGAATTATCCATGAGACGACTTATCCTCAAACACCACAACAAAATGGTGTTGCTGAACGAAAGAATCGACATCATCTTGAAACCACTCGAGCACTTCTGATTGGCGCTCATGTTCCTCACCATCACTAGGATGATGCTCTTGTCACCGCAGTTCACCTGATCAACCGCATGCCTTCTAGTGTATTGACCGTTAAAGCTCCCTTACAAATGCTTGCCCAACATGAGCCCCTGCCCTCTGCTTTGGTACTCACACCCCGAATCTTTGGACGTGTGGCTTTTGTTCATCTCCACAAAAATCAACGTAGCAAACTTAATCCATGTGTGCTTCGTTGTGTTTTTGTGGATTATGCCACTCATCAGAAAGGCTACCGCTGTTATCACCTTGCTACCTGACGTACCTATGTCACTTTTAGATGTGACCTTTTTAGAATATGAGTTGTTGTTCAATAACCTATCATCCAATTCTATGCTTCAGGGAGAGATACGAAGTGAAGAGCAGAATTGGAGAAACTTGGAAAACGAAGAAATTCTCCTATGTACAGAAATGATTGATCGTCTCGAGTTTGGAGCATGAGATTACTCTCTACCGAAAAGCGATCAATTGCCCATTTATAGCGATCAATCACCTAATCCACCTGATCCCTGCGAAGATGTTTCTGATCCGAGTCCTACACCTACAGACAATATAGAACAATAAGATGAAGACCCCTTCTAACTCAACAGTACCAACAGACCAATCTCTTGAGAATATCCCTGAGGTAGCTACTCCTCCTACACTTGTGAATTTAGAGGATAGATCTATTGAATACCAATTACCTTTCAGGAAAAATCGTAGGAAGCCACCAAACCGTTATTCACCTCATATTGGCAAGACATCAAAGTATCCAATTGCGAATCATGTATCCACTAAGAAGCTTTTTGAACCACTCAAGGCCTTTGTGCATCAGTTGTCTGCTATTCATATCCCAACCAAGGTTGCTGAAGCATTTAAAGATTCTAAGTGGGTTCAAGTTATAAAAGAAGAGATGAAAGCTCTTGAGAAGAATCAGACTTGGACATTGGAAACTTTACCACAAGGAAAAAAGACTGTCGAATGTAGATGAGTGTTTACCATAAAACACAATGCTGATGGATCTATCGAGTGATATAAGGCAAGACTTGTGGTAAAAGGGTACACACGGACTAATGGTGTAGATTATGAAGAAACCTTTACACCAGTTGCAAAATTGAACACAGTCAGAGTCTTACTGTCCCTTGCAGCTAATTTAGACTAGCCACTACACCAGTTTGATGTAAAGAAAACCTTCTTATATGGAGAACTCACGGAGGATGTGTATATGGACATTCCTCTTGGATATAATACTACTTAGACTGGAACAGTATGCAAATTATGAAAGGCATTGTATAGACTGAAACATTCACCACGTGCATGGTTTGGACGGTTCATCATGGCAATAAAGAACAATGGTTTCAGATAGAGTAACTTAGAACATACTTTGTTCTTGAAACATCAGAAAGGGAAGGTAACAACTTTAATAATCTATGTTGACGACATGATTATTACTGGGAATGATAAACATGAAATATCTCAGCTACAAGACTATTTGGCTACTGAATTTGAGATGAAGAATCTAGGTGGACTCAAATATTTCTTCGGGATTGAGGTGGCCCGATCACAACGAGGCATAATTCTCTCTCAAAGGAAATATGTCTTGGACTTGTTGATAGACACATGAATGCTAGATTGCAAACCTATAGACACTCCTATTGTTCAGAATCATCATCTTGGAGAATATTTGGATCAAGTTCCAGCTAACAAAGAAAGATACCAAAGGTTAGTGGGAAGATTGATCTCTTTGTCTCATACTAGGCCAGACATTGCTTATGCGGTAAGCATCGTCAGTCAATTTATGCATACTCTGAGTGAGGACCACATGAATGCAGTTATTCGGATACTTAGATATTTGAAGTCTGCACCTGAAAAAGGACTTATGTTCTCAAAACATGGTCATCTCTGGATATTGATGGTTATACAGATGCAGATTGGGCAGGAAGTATAACAGATAGGAAATCCACATCCGGTTACTTCACATTTGTGGGAGGTAATTTGGTTACATGGAGAAGCAAGAAACAGAAGGTGGTCGTCTTATCCAGTGCAGAAGCCGAGTTCAGAGGTGTGACCAAAGGAAGTTGCGAACTCATTTGGTTAAAGAGGTTACTTACTGAACTTGGGTACAAACATACATCTGTAATGAATCTCTTTTGTGAAATCAAGGCTGCAATTGCACAGAATCCAGTTCAACATGATCGCACGAAACATGTTGAGGTAGATCGTCACTATATCAAATAGAAGCTTGAAGCTAAAGTGATTCAGTTTCCTTTCGTAAAGTTCGAGGATCAATTGGCAGATATTTTGACAAAGGCAATTTCCAATAAAGCATTCCATAATTCACTGGACCAGTTGGGCATTGGCAACATCTATGCACCAACGTGAGGGGGAGTGTTGGCGTGACTTGTGGACTATTGACTTACTTCCCTTACACAACAAGAATTCCTATTATAATTGTAATTGATTTACTTTAATTCCTGATTTCCTACTATAAATAGATTTAGGAATTTATTATTTACTTGCCCATTCAAGTTTTGTTGTATTATAAATATGACCTCCTATAAGGAGAAGAATACACA